TCTCGCCCGCGACCACCCTTCCCGGCCCCGGCTGCTGCTCCTGTTTCATGTATCCGTCAGTCTCTCCTACCTCCCTGCTTTCCCACCGCCTTTTCCAGACCCTCGCTGCATCCCTCCAGCCCCCCTGCAGCTTCCTGTGCCCTGCTGCCCTCTCCGATCTTGTTGTTCTCAGGCCTCTGCTTGCTCCCGGCGCTGCTCCACTCCAAACCAGTATGCCCCAGTGCCACAAAGGGAGTCTCTGGCGCCCTCCCCAGCCCCGTGGGTACCCCTGGGCGAGCCAGGATGCCGGAGTTGCTCTGCCTGCTCTGGGACGGACGCACAGGCCGACTGAAGGCTGGGGTGGCCGGCTCCTGGCTCAGCCCAGCTCGATGCCCTGGCGAAGGAGGGAGCTGGGAGTGAGCTGCCCTGCCCTGCCCTGCAGGTCCGTCCTTCTCTCCGGCTACATTAGAGGAGACGAGCTGGGACCGGGGGGCTTTTGCCTTGCCTGGAGGGATGTGAGCTTCCCCCGTGGGGAAACGCCAGCTGGGAGCTCTTGGCTGCAGGATGCAGGTGGACACGGGGTTCAGGAGCTTTTTCTCCCGGCCGATGAGCATCTGAGCAGGGAAGGGAGGTCACCTGGGTCGGGGTATCCCCTGGGTGCAGGAGCTGCTTGGTGGCGCTCAGCCTGCGGTCAGAGAGAGCTGAGTCACGCAGAGCACCGGGTGCCGTGCCCCAGGCCCTGGCTCCGGCTTCTTTCACCGTGCGCCTTTGGGAACAGGCTGCACGGATAGCTTTACCTTCCTGGATGCTGTCCCAGGCCAAGAGGAGGGGGAAGGCAGCCAGCGGACCACGGGTAGCTGGCATCCTGGTGTCCCCTGCACAGCAGCATGCCTGGCGCTTTGGGGCGCGTTGCATCCCTGCCCTGCTCTCCCCCCATGCAGGTGTCTGAACGCTTTCCCCATCTCTTTCCCCACAGTGCGTCTTCGACGATCTCAGCGGCTCGGTGTCGCTCTCCTGGGTGGGAGACAGCACAGGAGTAAGTACCGCGGCGGGGAGAGAGGCCTTAGCGGAGCATCGCTGGCAGTGGCCTCCCTCCCGGGCCGGCTGCTCGCCCGGATGCTGTCACAGCGCCTTATCCCGAGATAACCATCGCGCAGGTCTCCACCCCCGAAGCAGCTGCCTTTCCCACCGGGGATGGCACGGGGTGGGGGGAGATCCCATCGTGGCACTGTCCCAAAGGGCTGTGGGGCTGGTCGGACCGAAGTGATGACTCAGTCCAGGGGAGCATGGAGATCCCGGGCAAGGGGAAGTGCCCTTCTTTCTGGGAGAGGGGCAGGGGGTTGGGTGGGGAAGGGGGGGCCCACGCAGGGGGGCTCTTGAACTTTTAGGAAGGATTAAAAATCCAATGAGATACAATTGTCTGTGTGTAACCCTCTGCTGGCTCTTTCTGCCCAGGTTATCCTTGTCCTGACCACTTTCCAGGTGCCCCTGGTGATCATGAGCTTCGGACAGTCCAAACTCTACCGGAGGTGAGTCCCGCGCCACCCTCGGGGCGTTAAGGAGCCGGCTGTCCCCGTGTTTCTGGCAGGGCTGGGTGATTAATCGCAGCTCTCTGCCAGCCACCGCAGGGGTGGGTGGTGCGTTCAGCCCGTCCGGTCCTGGCGCAGCTGTATCGACTGTCTCCCTGCTGGGCTGGTAGAGCTCAGCCCAGCCTGGGCAGTCGGGATCACCGCGAGGGGACCAGAAGGGCTAGGGGTGTTGTGGAGCAGAGCCGCTGGTTTATCACCGCACGAAGGCAGGATTAACCTGTTGTGGGGCAGCTCAGCTCCTCCAATCCCTTCTCAGGGGAGAGGGCAGAGCTTCCCGGAGGCCTCCGTGGTGAGGGCAGTGATCATGGGGACTGGTACCCGTGGTGGAAATGCCACCGCTGGTGGAGAGGGGATGGGTTGAAGCCGGGCAGCCGTTTCCCCACCTAACTTCTAGGTTTCCACCCTACTGTTGCCTGGGGGGCCATGTGGGCTGCTTTAACTTATAAGCTGAGCCCTGGGTCCCCGTGCTACGTCCCTTGCTGACCCACAGCCAGGCCGTTTTCTCCCTTTCAGCGAGGACTATGGGAAGACTTTCAAGGACATCACCGACCTCATCAATAACACGTTCATTCGGACTGAGTTTGGCATGGCTATTGGCCCGGAGAACTCGGGAAAGGTAGGAGAGGGTGGCGAGGCTGTGCGTCCACGGAGGTGGGCTTGCTGTGCTGGGGTCCCTGTGTGCCTGGCGGCCCCGGGTGCTGCTGCCCTGCGGCATGGCGGAGGCAGCTCCGGTATGGGCCCGCTGCGAGGCTGAGGTTGAGCTCCTGGAGTTATCCTCTGGCCGTGCCACGGCCGTTCCCCTGGGCAGAACTGTGCGTCAGCATTTCTGGAGCTCTTGGCACGTCTGGGTGGGCATCCCACCGGAGCTGCCAGTGCTGCCTGCGGACTAAGCTCCCACCTTCCTCGCATCCAGGTCATTCTGACGGGCGATGTGTCCGGAGGGAGCCGCGGCGGCAGGATTTTCCGCTCGTCCGACTTTGCCAAGAACTTTGTGCAGACAGACCTGCCCTTCCACCCCTTGGTGCAGATCCTGTACCACCCTCAAAACTCAGACTACCTGCTGGCGCTCAGCACCGACGTAAGAGATGGGATGGGATGCTGTCTGTGGTTGGGAATGGCCCAGCCAGCCCACACTCGGGTGCTGCTTCCCCAAGGAAGAGCCAGATTGTGGCCATTTGTCCTGGGGAATGGGCTCTGTCCCCATGCCGGAGGATGCGCTTGGCCATTGGGGAAGGTTGGGGACTGGCTGTTTGCAGCCCTGACGGGTGGGGGAAAGGCTGTTGAGGAATGGCAGGCAGTGACGAGTGAGCGCAGTGACCAGTGAGCACGTTTTGGCTCGTGCAGAATGGCCTCTGGGTGTCCAGGGACTTCGGGGAGAAGTGGGAGGAGATCCACAAAGCTGTCTGCCTGGCCAAGTGGTGAGTGGCTGTGCAGTGGCCGGGGCTGATCTGGGGAGGGGGGGGATTGTGGCTGCTGGCGGGGAGGGGGGTCTCACATCAAACTGCCTGCTCAAGGCCGTGGGAGGCAGCGCCGACCAGCTGGTGTGCAGTCCCACGGGGCTGTCCTCCACGCGGCTCCACAGAGGTGGCTTCTAGCTGCTGAGACTGCGGCACAAAGCACCTTCCTTGACACCCTTCCCAGCCCCCTTTCCTTGTTGCAGCCTGACCTGGCGGGGGAACGTGCACCCGTCTTGTCCAAACACAACTGATTTAGAGGGAAGCATCCTGTTGCCTTGCAGGCCAGGAGCACCCATCAGCCTTCCTGGCCTCCAGGGCTGCTCCCTCGAGCAAGAGCTGCCGGCTGCCCCGGAGTCCCCCCCGCCTGGGGCTTCCCCAGTGGCAGTGGGGATCCCTTCTGGCGCATCGCGTGATCTGGCAGCGTGTCTGTGGAGCTCTCCGGGTAACGGGGAGCACCAGCGGGGGGATGTGAGTGTGTTAGGGCAGGGCAACCCATCCCAGGTCTGAGGGTTAACTCCATGCGAGTGGTAGCTCCCTCCGCACTGGATAACAGGTCACGAAATCGGCTCTGTACGAGGGTCCCTCCCGTGAGTCAAACCCCCTGGTGCGTCGTACCCTACGTGTTTCTCTGACTCGCCGCTCTCTTCGCAGGGGTGCTAACAACACCATCTTCTTCACCACCTACCTGAACAGCTCCTGCAGTAAGTACCTCCCTGTCTCAGGCCAAAATCGTCTGCCACATCTCTGTGCTCTCCGGGAGCCAAGGGCCCTGCAGAGACCTGCAAGCCCCTCTGCTCCCTACGCAGTCCCTTAGCCTGCAGAGCATAGGGCAGAGGGTGAAGCGGCTCAAGTAGAAATGCTCTTGGCGTGGCCATCTGCCTGCTCTCCGCAGCCTGTCCAGCCCTGTCCAAAGGGACTGAGCCTATGCACCCAGGCATCCGATCACCCGGTGCAGATGGTACTTCTTAAAGGGAGAAATTCTGTAAGCCGGGGCAGGTAGGGGACAGGAATGGTGCCACACAAGCCAGCTAGTGGGATAGGACCTGGGAAGAGGAGACTGAGAAGCGATGGTGGGTCACTGGCATCCCTGGGTGTCCAGACAAGGGAGCAGAGACCTGCATGGAGGGCAGCACGGGTTCCCGCAGGCTTTGGGGCTGCCTGCAGCCAGCGCTTGAGGTTTGTGGAAGGATCCTGGGTACGTTTGGGCCCGCAGCAGATTTTAGGTAGGGGTTGATGGGCAGGAGGCCTTGGTGGCAGCAAATGGCAACTGAGAACTGCCAGAGCTGGGACACCGTCGGGGGGTCACTGGGACACGGTCATGGTGATGGGCGATGAGGCCAGGTCCCAAACCAGGCTGCGGAGGTTAGCTAGAGGTGGTGCCCTGTGTGTCCACTGTAGCGGCCTTAATCCACCTTCCCTTCTTCTTAAGAAGCTGATCTCGGGTTACTGGAGCTAAAGAAAACCTCTGACTTCGGCAAAGCCTTCAAGGTCATCGGCACCAAGATCTACTCCTTCGGCCTCGGGGGGCGCTTCCTTTTCGCCTCCGTCATGACAGAGAAGGTAGTCATCCTCTTCCCACCTCCCTGGGAGCACCGGTTGCATGGGGAGCAGGCATCTGGGCACCGGCAGCTCCTCCCACATCCCCTCTGCCCCTGCCCTCCTTCGCCTTGCGAGGAGGAGCAGAGGCTGAAGGACAGTCTCGCTCTCTAGGGTAACACAAGGCGCATTCACGTCTCGCTGGACCAAGGTGAGACCTGGAATATGGCCCAGCTCCCCTCTGTGGGCCATGAGCAGTTTTACTCCATCTTGGCTGCCAACGAGGACCTGGTGTTCATGCACGTGGACGAGCCGGGAGGTGAGTGCCCGGGGTAAGCCAGGCTGAGACAGGGACGATGCTGGTGACAACTGGAAATGTCTCCGCATGGGGGACACGCTCTGCAGCAGGCTCTCCACGCAGCGTTAGCTCTCTGCTGACCTGCCCAGGCAGGGCTATGCCTTCCAGGAAGGACTTTCTCGTTAAGACATTGCTAATTAGCAGGCAGTAGCTATAGGAAAGCTTGTTCCTCTTTGCAGTGTGTGGAAAGCATGACCATGCTGGATCTGTTTTGAGGCAATGGGGGTTTCTCCTCTTCCTTCAGTTCCTCTTTCTAAGCTGTGAACTGATGTGCCTTTGTTCTTAAGGCTCAGCCTTGCTGGGGAGAGGTCCGTGGGACACTCCTCCATTCAAACAGCCAGTGTCTTCTCTCTTCTTCCCTCTGCAGCCGCCTCGTCCTGGTCCCCAGGGCCAGGCCATGGCTGTAAAGATCTTGGGAAGTGCCACTGAAATAAGAGCTTATGTCTGAGGTGGGCAGAGTTAAGGGGACACAGTCACCCCTGCTGGGAGTGTCCTACTCCACCCTGTGGTGACAGATATTTGCAGCCTTGGGGGACAAGAACAGTCTGGTTGCAGGTGAAGACAACAGCTTCAGGACACCCCTGGGCATTCACTGGCATTTTTAGTGCTGACCCCAGCCCTGCCAGGGGAGCTGAAGCAGCACAAATACCCCTCTGCCCTTCTCACCACCCTCTGCCTTCCCCAAGGCGTTGTGTGTCAGGAGGAAGCTCTGTGACCGTTTCAGTTCTGTTGGTCCCTCCCCAGAGATCACAGGAGATGTCAGGGCTTAGAGTGAGGAGCCAGCCCCAAATGTTGGGAGCGCTGCTCCTCCTTGCCTGAACTCACCAGGAAATATCTCCCCTGAGCAGAGCCTGGCTGCCCGGCTTTGGTTTGGTGGGGACAGATCGGTGCTGGGTACTGCTTTGAGCAGTTTGCATAGGAAAGGGGACTTGTCTCTGCAAGGTGAGGCAGCGTCACCGCTTGCCCGGAGACACGAGGAGAGTCGCCTGTGCAAAGGTGACAGCAGCCTCCAGAGCTGAACCCGAGTCTTGGGGGTCCTCAGCAGCCATGGAGGTATGGACCAGAGCAAAACCAGAGCAGTCGGCACCTGCCAGCTCCATCCAGTGTCAGCTGAGAGCCTCAGCTGCCCCTCTCTGCAGCCCACCCCAAGTCTGCCTTGCCAGTCCCTGCTCTCCAGCTTGCCCGTGACGGGATGTGGCCGGAGCAGCAGGCTCTTAGCAGCCTCCGGGTGGAGAGACGGAGGCTGCGCATCTGCCGTGGTGCCTGGCAACAGGCTGCCTCCCGCTTGACCCCATGGTTATTTCTGTCCCATTGCTTGTCTTGCAGATACGGGTTTTGGCACCATCTACACCTCTGATGACCGAGGCATTGTGTACTCCAAGTCCTTGGAGCGGCACCTCTACACCACCACTGGTGGGGAAACAGACTTCACCAACGTCACCTCGCTGCGTGGCATCTACATCACCAGCGTCCTCTCAGAAGGTGAGCAACCGTGTGGGCAGCTGGGCTGGGACATCCGGGCTCCATCCGCCTCTGTGCACCAAAACGGGGCTAAAGCCTCTGGGACTGACACCTGGGACCTGTGGGGTTGTGCGAGGGGAGCATGACTCCTGCCGAAGCTGCCTCGGGGGCTGGAGGCACAGGGCTCGGGAGCAGCCGTCCCTCAAGGGGCCCACGGGTGACAGGGAGCATGAGGATGTCGTGCTCAGCATCCTCCCGAAGCCCAGGGCCTCCCATCTGCTCCTCCCTCCTCCCGCCAGACAATTCCATCCAGTCAGTGATCACCTTCGACCGTGGTGGCGAGTGGGTGCCGCTGAGAAAGCCGAAAAACACCACGTGCGACTCCACGGCGAAGAACAAGGAAGAGGTGGGTCCATCTTGCGATCCTGTTCCCCCAAGGCTGTTCTCCTTGGGACTGGGGTCACCTCATGGGCACAGGGCCAAGACACTGGTAACCCTGTGCTGATGGCAGTTTCTTGGCTCTGAGTTGCAGGGCTGATCTCTCCCCGCCATGGGTGGGATTTGGCTACAGACCTTTGGGTTTTGCTCTGTGTTAGGAGGGCACAAGGATGCTGGAGGACAAGTGGGTTCATCCTGCAGCCCCAGCAAGAGGTGCTGCAGGGACAGGGCCAGCTGTGTGTGACCCAGGGGTGGGTTGTGGGTGGCACCATGAGAGTGTGCAGGAAGCCCTGAGCAGGCTGGGGGTGCTGGATTGTCCCCAGCACCCACCGAGTGTTAATAGGCAAAGGATTAGGGGAGTCTGGCTCCTCAGCTTTGCATTAGGCTGACAGTCCCACTGCTGGAATTGGCTGCAGAGGGGCTGTGCGGGGCTGAGCAGGCCGTCAGGGTTGTGCCAGCCACCCCTCTTCACCCGCGCACGTCACCTCCGCTCCTGGATGAGCTCTTCTCTTACGTTTGCAGTGCAGCCTCCACATCCACGCGTCCTACAGCATCTCCCAGAAGCTGAACGTGCCCATGGTGCCGCTGTCCGAGCCCAACGCCGTTGGCATCATCATCGCCCACGGTACCAAATGTCACTGGCTGGGGGGAACGAGACTCATTGGGGCTGGTGGGTCGCAGCCAGGCCCTGCTGGGGGATACTGCTCGCCGCTGGCACCCACGGGTGGGAGGGGAGGGCGAAGGACCCACGTTGGCCTCCCTCCAGGTAACACCGTCCCCACCTTCCAGGCAGCGTCGGGGGAGCCATCTCGGTGATGAGCCCAGATGTCTACATCTCGGATGATGGGGGCTACACGTGGGCGCGGATGCTGGAGGGGCCACATCACTATGCCATCCTGGACTCTGGTGGCCTCATCGTAGCCATTGAACACACCAGCCAGCCCGTCAACGTGATCGAGTATACACAAACTCGTTCCACTCTGGCTTGAGGCAGTGAGGGGGTCTTGCTCGTTTGGGGGGCCCGGAAGCTGAAGGGGAGATGGGGGTTGCTTTGGGGGGATACCTCGCAGACAGCGCGGCTGTTCGCCCCCCTCGGTCCCTGGGGAGGAGTGTGGTATCTGATGTGTCTTCAGGTCTCATCCCAGCCTGTGCATAAGGGATGGATGGTTTCTCAGGAGCAATCGCCCCTTGCTGACTCCAGTCCCCAACCGAACCGTTTTCTGGCAGGTTCTCCACAGACGAAGGCCAGTGCTGGTATAAGTACACTTTCTCCAAGGATCCCATCTTCTTCACCGGACTGGCGTCTGAGCCCGGAGCCAAGTCCATGAATGTCAGCATCTGGGGTTTTCGGGGCAACTTCCTGTCCCGCAAGTGGGTCTCGTACACCATCGACTTCAGCGAGCTGCTCAGCAGGACCTGTGAGTGCCTCCCGGAGACGAAGTGCTCACGCCCAGGCGGGCTGGGGACCGCTGGTGTTGGGCTGGGGGACGCTTTTGCACTGAGATGCTGGGTTGGGTGATGTTAGCCGAGTCGCTCCCCTGGTTTCCGTGCATGGGAAGGGATGACCTAGGGGTAATGGGACGCACTTCTCTCCCCTGACGCTCCTGTGCCCTGGTTCGGCGTGGCGCGGTCCCCCTCAGCCCCCAGCCACAGGGACGGCGTGAACCAGGCTGAGCCATCGAGGTTTCTGCAATCCCAATGGTTGCTGGTGACACCCTGGGATGAGGGTCACCACCTCCCCGAGAGCGCAGTGGTGCCGTCTCCGGGACCGTGGAGGGGAGGGCCGGGGCCCGCTCACCCCAGCAGCGGCGCGGGCGGGCAGGCTGCTCGTGCGTCGCACGGCTGAGGCCTCTCCCTCCTAGGCGAGGACAAGGACTACACCATCTGGCTGGCTCACTCCAGCGATCCCAGCGACCCCAGTGACGGCTGCATCCTGGGCTACAAGGAGCAGTACCGGCGCCTCCGCAAGTCCTCGGTGTGCCAGAATGGCCGGGACTACATGGTGACTAAGCAGCCGTCCGTCTGCCCCTGCACCCTGGAGGACTTTCTCTGGTAGCCTTTGACTTCACCTGCTGCGTAGTCCCTCCCCAGTTCGTGCCAGCAACAACCCCCTTGGCCTGGCCAGGACTGCCTATCTCTTGTGGGTCGTGCTCTGGGGCTCCGAGTCGGTTCTGATCTCCCGCTCTGCTCTTCTGCCCACAGTGACTTTGGCTACTATCGCCCGGAGAACCAGTCTGTCTGCGTGGAGCAGCCGGAGCTGAAGGGACACGACCTGGAGTTCTGCCTGTACGGCAGGCAGGAGCTGCTCAAGACCAGCGGGTAAAGCATCTTATCACCCACTTCTCCTCCTGGGCTGGTTGGTTTGACTGGGGCTGACGCTCCCAGGAGGTGAACCCAGCTCGGCATCGCTGGAGCCAGGCACGTTGAGGAACATTGGAGCGAGGCATGGGGCAGTTACCGAATCCCTGGGGAATCCTTCACCCTGTGCCCAGCAGGGCAAAATCCTGCCTGATCCAGCACCCTCAGTCAAGGCTGAGCCTGGAAACGAGTGGGGAAATTCCTGTGTGAGCCACCGGCTAATCGGGCGTCGTCTCAATTCTAGGTACCGGAAGATCCCAGGAGACAAATGTTCAGGAGGGGAAAGTCCAAGTCGGGAAGAGACTGACATGAAGAAGAAATGCACCAGCAACTTCCTGAGCCCCAGCCAGCTGGTAGGTGACAGCTGGTGGGAGGGGGGCCGGCAGCAAGCCACAGGCCGTCTCCTGCCCACCGCCGTGCAGCCGGTAGACTTCCCATGGTCACTGCTGAACTGCAGGACTGTCCTGCCTAAATCTGCCCAGAGCTTCTTGCAAATTATCTGCTCAAGCCTGGTTTTGTGCTGCAGAAAGGCTTTTCGTACCCTGGGAGCTGGGTGTTGGGTGAGCATGTTTTAGTGGAGGAACGTTTAAACCTCGTGGCTGTAAAAACTGCACTGGTTCCTTGTCCCCTCCGCAGGCAGTGTCCTCCAGCTCCACTCCCATTATCCTGGCTGTTGTTGGCCTCCTGCTCGTCACCGCTGTGGCCGGGGTGCTCCTCATCAAGAAATATGTGTGCGGGGGCAGGTGAGTCTCAGTTCGCTCCGGCACAGGCAAGCGGGAGCCCTGCGTTGGCCATCTTGCTCTGGCCCAGGCCCCCGATCCTGGATAACCGGCTTCGCTTAGGCACAGATCTGTAGCTACTTTGCTGAGCCTCTGCTCTCTTTTCCAGTAATGAAGGCAGCTACTAATTGCTCTGCTGCCTTTGCCTCTGACCTCACCTTAGTAGCTGGGGTGGGAAATCGGTTGCGTTGCTGGGCCTGGTGAGCGAGGTGCTGGTTGCCTCCAAGACACCCAGGAAAAAATCTGCGTGCTCCAGGGGTGATAAGAGATGCTGGTCCCGTCCCCCCC